CTCGGCGCGTTCGGGTCCTCCAGCAGGGTTCCGCTTTGATCCTCGAGACTCGGGAAGAACGGTGATTTACCTGCAACACGCGTCAACGGTTTCACTCCGATTTTTTGGGAATCTTCCTTCTTCGTCGGCCATTTTCCAAACGCACAACCGACATTTTACGAAATTGCATGAAATGGAGGAAACACAGAAACAGCAAAGTGGTTTCGATCGAGCATAGATCACCGATCGTGTAGTTTCTAATTCGCTCCGAAACTCACTGTATCTTCTTCGAATGGGGAATCTCGCTCTTCTGACAAACGCCGCCATTACCGGCGAATCTTCGGTTACGAGAGGCAAGATAACGCGAAATCACGCGAAGGATCGTTTGTTTCCCGGCGTCGTTAAGGGAACAAAACGAGCAAAACGCGTGCGAGCGTGATCGAGCTGTAACGGACACTGACGCGAAACAGTCGAGCACACCCACTCGTTCGTCTTCTTTTTCTCCGCCAGAAGTCTCGAATCGATGCGACGATCACCTAGAACGATTTTTCCCGTGTCGACAATGCGCTTCGAGCACGAAAATGGAACGCCACGGAGAAGGGACAGAGGGGGTCGCGAGAGGCTATAACGGGAATAAAGCCGTTCGCGCGAAACGGATTTGAAGCGAGCCATCGAAGATCGCCTCGAGAAGGCTAATCTACGATCGTTATTTCGATGTCGTGAAAACTCCGTCGAGTTTAATTTCATTACGCAACATCGGCAGTTTATCGCGACTCGATCGAGGCGAAATTAAAACGACCCTGTCGATAAATCGTCGATCGTGTACGAAGTAGAAAGCGACCGTATACAGCTTACATATTCTTCGCGATTCTTACGAAACCAATGTGACTTCCCGAAAATACCCTTCGAGAGATTTAATCCGTGGTATAAAATTTCATCGAGGCGGAGCATGACTGGCACGCATCGTGCTCTTATCGATCCGAACCCCGTTTCAGGCCCTAGGTCTTCCTTTATCCTAACCCCGGGCCTCGTTAATCATTCGCTAACCCCGATAGCGGATTCGATCGACGAGGGTAACCTCTCGTTTTTTCACAATTTTCCAACACTCCTACAACTCTGCTCTTTCACTATAACTTACGTTGCTTTTCCGGAGACTAACCTTAGGTACATAACCTTGATGAATCAAATACAGTGTGATACGCAGTACTGCAATATAGATTTTACTGTTTCTCTGCTGTTATACGGACTATTTCAAAATGTATGAGTAGTGGTATGGAGTTGCAGAAGTGTGGTATATGGTTGCAGAAGCATAGGTATATTTTTGGTATACAGAGAGGAGCTTGAAAGCACCTGAACTTGGCTGATATTGCTGATAGAATGTAGACAAGTTTGGTATTGATTCGATGTTACTAGTTTTTTAATAGTTAGTCGAGGAGATATGGTCATCCTTGTTAGCTAACCAAGTTATCCTGGTGGCCTCTGTATATGTTAAATATGCTCTTTTCTGAATTGTATCATTACCTACAGATAACCTCATAGTCTCATTAATAGTATAATAGTCTCATCATTTTCCTTTTACAAAAATTATGCGTTTAAGAGTCAAATTATTAGTAGGAGCTTGCAAAGTCCAGAAGTCGAATTCCTCCAGTTGGAAACTTCGATCAATCTCCCATCACCGTCATACGTAGCCCAACCACGATTAAAACTCGCTTAAGGAGTTCCCTTCAGCAATCTCGCTTCGAAAATAAATTTATCTGCGTCCTAGAAGTGCGCGTTTAGATACGATTTAAGGGATGGTGCTCGGGGTTGAAATTGGTCGAGTTTCGTGAGACACGAGCAAAGGGGATAGGGATAAACGCGATCCGATAGCGCACCCTCGAGACAGGGAAGCACCTCGAGGCTTAACCACGATTCGGTAACTTTAGCGACCCCTTCGTACCGGTTAAAACGGATAAGAACGATCGGTGGATCGAAATTATTTAACGCTCTCGAGCGTGAGTCATAACGCACGTAGGCGCCGTAAGAATAGATTTTTTCTCGGCTCGATGCAACGGTATCGTTCACGCGTCGATTAGCTTTTCTTAGGGAAAAACGAGCGGACGAAAGCGAGATGAGACGAGACGGAAGGAGACGCTCGGCGACAGATACGGGACATCTAACACGCGGCTTCAACGCTGCGAGGTTGTTCGGATCAATATTACAGGTAGCTCTGCCCCCTGTTCCGCCCTTCCTTCGTTGGATACGCCGCCATTCGCCCCTCGACACGCGTACGCACACCGAGGCGATACCTTGCACGTGACTTCGACGCGCGAACTGTCGAAAACTACCCTGGACATTTCAACATTTTAGATTGATACACTGTGCATCACGTTATTAACAGGTGTTGTCTTGTATCACCCTTTGGTGATAGTCTTTGTGACTCCATGTACTCAATCATGTATCTCTTCTTTATTTTTCCCAAATGTATGCAACTCTTCAAGTCAGATGTGGTTTGATCACCCTTTGGTGACAGTCTTCTTTGTGACTCTATGTATGTTGTTCAATCATGTATCTTTTCATTAATTTTCCCAAATATATGCAAGTCTTTTCAAGTCAGATGTGGTTGGATCACCACGTATCACCCTTTGGTGACAGTCTTCTTTGTGACTCTGTATGTTGCTCGATCATGTATCTCTTCGTTACTTTTCCCAAATATATGCAAGTCTTTTCAAGTCAGATGTGGTTGGATAGTTGTAAACTAGTGAGTAGGCTCCATTTTCTATGGCATTTATCAAACTTCACCTGATGTGTTATTGGTAGTCAAGCCTAAATGAGTGCATGACTCTTAGTTGCTCTTCAACAAAATTTGATTATTGTCATAGTAAGAAATCAATTGCTATGTATATTGTCATCAGTGTACTCATTCAGCGTATTCATTAATTTTGCATGACATTAAGAATTTTCCATATGTGGTACATTGTCCACATGTCATAAAAGTTCAATTATGTGGCCTTAATTCTACATCCAGTTAACATCTGACTATTCGTATGAACTGATATATAACAGGATAGTTGACTAGATAACTGACTAGATAACTGACTAGATAACTGACTAGATAACTGCCTAACAGGTAGCAATAATCGAAGAAGCATAGATTTGCTAAAAAGTAACTCATCGAAAGAAACTAGTCCTCCAGTGAACATTTACCGTGTAACGACCTTACTTTCGTTGCTTGACCATATCGAGGTTTACGAAACGACCCGCGTTGGAAAGAAACCCGCGTGGAAGCAGTCCGAGGTGAATGCCCTTTTCCAGCTACCACCACCATCGACATCACCACCACCGCCTCGTGCTTTACCCCCATTGCCTCGCGGCGACCCCCCTCGCGTCGTATTTTTCTGGCGTCCCGACGCCGATACATTCTAGTGTACCATTGAGTTTCTCTTCCTTCCTTCCGCTCCCTTACTTCCATTCTGTTTCTTGTCGGGATGCGTGCGACTGATTTTTTCATACATTCTTTTGTACGGAGAGACTGTAACTTGCACTGTGATTTGTCGGGTCACAGCTATTATTACAAGAGGCTGTCGATTGTAATACAAAATTTGATTCAATACGATCTTGAATTTTTATTAATTTTTTAATGTTGCATGTGTGATGAATGTACTGGGACAATAGTGGTATTGTTGGTATAAAAATGATGGTCTCAAGAGAATTCATTTTATACTGAATGTAATGTTAGTGGTGACTGACACTTAGCCTGGGATTTTAGTGACTGACGCTGTAGTTAGTCTGCGACTCTAGTGACTGACACTCAGTCTGCGACTTTAGTGACTGACTCTGAGCTCAGCTTGTGACTTCAGTGATTGACACTGTACTTAGTCTGTGACTCTAGTGACTGACACTTAGTCTGCGACTTCAGTGACTGACTCTGAGCTCAGCTTGTGACTTCAGTGATTGACACTGTACTTAGCCTACGAATCTAGTGACTGACATTCAGCTTGCGACTTCAGTGACTGACTCTGAACTCAGCCTGTGACTTCAGTGACTGACTCTGAGCTCAGCCTGTGACTCCAGTGACTGACACTGAACTCCAGCGACTCCAGTGACTGACACTGTAAACTCAAACCTTAACCCTAACATCAATCCTAACGATCCTACACGACTTCCAACTTGAAGCATCCAAAATCCCCAAAGTCACCGATTCACCGTCAAATCTGCAACCCACAAATTATTGATCTAAACAAAACGATCTTCCAATGAATCGATCCGCGACAAAAGCATGACGACAGAAAAGCGCGGAATCTGATCCAATTTGCAGGGTAAAAAGCCGGTCACGTAGGAAGAGGGTTCGCAATAATCGACCATTGTAGAGAACGTAACGAACGTTGTCTCGTGTCGGCCATTCTTCTTTCATGACGTTCTTCCTGTCGCTCCCCAGTAATCCTCCGCTTACCCGATCTCGCTTCAAGATTCGATTTCAGACAAGATCGACAAGAGTCAATTTTAGACAAGGTGAAGAGATGTTCAACAGCTGATTTATAAAAATTGTATGTGTTCTCGTCACGGAGTAAATTTTTACATATTTAACTAGCTACGTTTCGAGGAGATACGACGTTCCCTTCTGACGTTATCTCTGTAGAAACCACGCGTTCACAACCTTTTCGTCGTTAACGATCGACCTTTCCGATAACTTTGCTCGAGTTTGGAAAAAACTGGCTATCTCGGATCTGTGTGGAGGAAACGAGGCTTTTCCGCTTTGAGATAGTTTCAAGAATTTCGGTACCTAGCACACTTTTGCTTGAGAAAATTTATTTCTTATCGAACGAAACTGATTTTGAACAAGGCGAAAGGATCTGTGATCGACAATGTAATTTTATAACAACGGTATAGGTTTGCTTAACACGTTGACTGCCATGTCATCCACATGTGGCATTTCAATTACCATGCAGATCTACCATTCATTTAATTAAAAATATGTCCTCTTCATTGAAAATACTCGATCTTTGTTAGCAGTATTAACTGCTTGTAACTATGAAAAATAAATATAACAAGACACTGTAAAAATGTTTGTTAAGATTTGCAAAAATGAAAATACCTAATGCAATTTCCAGCAGTTTCAGAGTAGCAGTTCATGCGTTAAAGGTTAATTTGCAAAACCACCTCGAAATTCAGCGGTGCAGAAATAATAAATGTCAAAGTTTATTTGTCAATTAACCACCACGATCGAAACCCGACAGAAACAGGGGAGAAACATCGAAAGACGGAATTGCCCCGGTGAAGAAGAGGTGGAGCAATTAAAACGTTACCAGACACGACGCTTTACTTGTTTTTTTCCCACGTCTAGCCGCGACTTCGCCAACTTATAAAAATTCGTAATTATGGGCTTATTAACGACTTAGAAAATCCAGTAAATTAACGAGCACGCGTCTCAAGAGGCAGAGCGTCTACGACAGCCCTTCCGCGTCCTCGTTCCGTCGACGAGTCGACTCTCTCGCCTCTCTTCACCCTCTTCGTCACCCTTTTCCCGCGATATTCACCTAACCCCTTAGACTACGATCTAACCAGGAAAAAGCGCGGTCGAAAATGTCGGGGTCGAATTTAACGAAAGAATCCGAAGCGGTTCTCCACTTTCTCCGACGCGTCTTCGCTTTTCTGTTTTTGCGACGTCGAACGCGAAAGTGCTCCCGATACGAGTTAAGGCAGGTCTTGAAAACAGGTCTACCCGGTCCTCTTTTTCTTCTCGCTCGCGTGCAAGCTTGAGAGCTTCGATAAAACCTTAGTATTCTTCTGTGGTGACGAGCTTCTTCTATAGTCTTCTGAAATAATTGGAGGGCTGTAGTGGACGTATGTGATATTAACCCCTTTGACAAGTCTCGTGCAGTCACACATGTGACAAACCTTGCTAAAATTTTTAATACTTCAATTTGAAATTTTGGTTCAACTATGTGGACCATTTAGGTGTAATTATGTGGACCATTTGGGTCTAACTGTGTGGACTATTTAGGTTTAACTAAGTGGACCATTTAGGTTCATCAAGGATCACATAGTCAAGGATCGCTGAATATAAAATACTCACAAGTGAATTATTTTTTACTAACACATCTGACAAATAAATTATATAAGCTTGTAGCAAGACTCCTATGTTTGACTCCAAAGTTTTGTGAAGAATTTTTATTATTTCAAGTAGAGTTCCAAAGGGGTTTGAACACAGCAAGATTCCTATATTTGACTCCAAAGTTTTGTGAAGAATTTTTATTTTTTCAAGTAGAGTTCCAAAGGGGTTTGAACACAGCAAGATTCCTATATTTGGCTCCAAATTTTTGTGAAGAATTTTTATTTTTTCAACTTCAAGCCCCAAAGGGTTTAAGCACAAAAGTGTACATATTAATTTGAGCTAACCTTCGAAACGTCAGGGATCCATTTTACCGATCGAGCCAGAAGAAGGTAAAAGTATTCTCTTTGCGAATAAAATCGTTAATTACTTTTAATCGAGCTCCCGTGACAATCTTTGCCACGAGCATTGCTTTTAATTGGTCGCATCGTCCTTGGAGAAACTGGTTAGTTTCGATCGACTACCTTTTAAAGCCGCTGCAGCTTTGATTCTATTCTTTCGACTTTCTAATAAGGAATACGTTTGTACTTTCCGTAAAACCCGCGATTTTAGCTTTGCCCAACTCGAGGGCGATCGAAGCGTTTATCCTACAGCGGCGCGAAACTTTGCCAAGGATGCGAGGAATGTGGGACAAGGAAAATCTTGCCTCGACGCGTTTCGCAACGTCTAACGTTTCACCGGCAAAAATATACGGAGAAGAGAATATGATCATCCCTGAAATTCTCTTCCGGTCTGAGGGGAAATGTTTTCGAGTGTTTTTGTCGATAAGGCAAATATTTTTAGCGGGATCGATGCGCGATGACTGCGTCGTACTTGCAATGGCGGTCACGAATTAACCCTTATTTAATTTACAAGATAAGAAATCTTAATATTGCAGGAGTAATGGGAGGAAATTGCAAGAGTTATTTATAAGATCCAAGAGAAGTGTGACACTCAGTCACATATGAACTTGCTATAAACTGCAAGAAGTTAACTGGCTGTGTACTTAATTTGAAATTAAAAATGAAGTTTAAAAAAAAAATAAACAAAACGAAACATAAATTTGTACACTCATTTATTCTTTATCTTCATGAAAATCAATTCTGATTCCAAAGAATGTACTTTGTACTTTGCTTTGTTCTTTTAACAAAATGTGTACCTTATAATAAGAAACTTATGGAGCGGTCATTTAACTGGCTTGGTATTTTTACTGTTAAAGAAAGCTATAAATCAAGAACCGACAGAAGAAGGTTTCGATGTTTAAAGAAAATTCATGGACCGAACCCCAGGTTAATTATTTCACTAGTTTCTCCATAATCTCTACATCCGCTAAGTATGCCTCGTCGAAAAATGCAGCGAAGAAAATACGAAACGCGAGGCCGCTAAACGAGATTAATCCGGCTAGCTCGAATACCGTAACTCCAGAGATCAATTGCCACGGGAAATTAAGCTCGTTTCCAATCTCGAGATTACGCCGCGCTACTTTACCACCCACGAGGTACCGTTACCTCCACGCGATTTATGCATGTTGACGCTAGTACGCAAAACTTGAAATTAGCGAGTGGTAGCAAGGTTTATGGAGCGGTAGAAGATACACGTTCGTATGACATTTAGACGTAACTTAGCAAGATGTGTTTCTGTTATAAAATAATATAATTCTTCTTCTTGTATTCTTCTTGTGTACTTCGTATGTACTTCTACTCTACGTTTTAGTCTAGCTACGTGGTTTCAAAGCTACGTATTTTTAAACGAAAGGTACAGCCTTATTTTATCAAGACACGAACGAAAAAGCTATTTTTGAGGTTAACATTACAATTTATTAAGGTATGAAATTCCATTGCATTTCCAATTTTTTCGAACATCCATTAATATGTAGCTAACGTGATTCTGAATAAAATTTCCCTTTGCAGAAATAAGGTTTGAAGCATCGTTTTCGAATTATTCAAGAAAAACGCGGTCTGATCAGAGCGCGAGGACTGCGCATGCGCAGACGCCAGGTTCGAAGCTGCCGCTCTTGCGGCTGCGCGCGCATAATCTTGCTCCGCGTTTTTTCTTAATAATTCAAAAACGAAGCTTCACACACCATTTCTGCAAAGGGAAATCTTATTCAGAATCACGTTAGCTACCATTTAAGGGACCTACACTAATTGTGAGACACCCTATATATTTACTTCACTGCATAATCAGTATAGGAGGTAAAATAAAAATGCAAACAGTCATTGTAATTTTCTAATTATTATATTAATTCAAATTTTCTAATCATTATACTAATTTGAAAATTATAATTCATATAATAATTCATTTTTTAAGTATTATATTATAGAATCAGTTTAAAAATTCTTGTTTCAAATTATTGCATTAAATAAAACGGTGACTGACTAATTTTTTAATTATTATATTATAGAATCAGTTAAAAAATTCTTGTTCAAATTATTGTATTAAATAAAATGGCGACTGAGAGCGCAGAGGGTAAGCTACACGTCTCCGTAACTTAGTAAGAGCGAATCCAGTAATTTTCACTCACCGTGTAGTTGCGCGAGCGATTGCAGCGTGCTGGCATTGCAGTTCATGTACCCTGAAACAGAAAAGGTGAAAACGCTTCGATTAAAAGGCCGCCAGTGTTTCGAAATTCTTCTAAGCGATGCTGCGAAAGCGAATAATCGTCGCGATCGAAACCGATCTCCGCGGATCGAGATTTATCGCGAGGCATCCACGCGCGGTAACGTTAGACGGCCGAGATTATATACGCCCAACGGTATTACCGTATCGCAAGGGTGTAAAGGAAAAGAGAGGAGAAAAAACGAACCGGTCGCGTGCTGTTCTCGAAGATCGGGTTGCGCGGTGTCGCAAGTAGCGACTGAAAAAAGTAAACCGAAATAACCTGTCGAAACTACCGCCATGAAAACAGCGAATTCAAAGACGTCGGGCTAATCGATACCGTTCGAAGGGAAATCGATTGTTGGCGCAAGCGATACCGTTACGGTACCCGCGATTTTACCGGGTCTTATTATGAAACTCGTTAGTACATCGAGACGCGTAAAGGATAGCCTTTTCGATCACGAAACCGCGCCGTTGCTCAACGATACGTTTTGAGCCTCGATCGACTTACGGGTTTAGAAAGTTCCTTCTTATCGTTTCAATTTTTTCGGTTGCTTCTCTCGTCGACGGATAAATCGACGAATCGTTGATTTCGCGAAACGCTTTCTTCGCTCGTTTACACTCGGCTACGCTCGAACGTGCCGAAGCAACGGACCGCGCCTCGCTGATTTGACCCGTCGACTTTCCTAGACTCCATCTCTTCATACCTGTTTCGAACCGCGAAACCGCGACGCCGTTTTTTGCCCAACTTGTCCACAGTTTCGATAAAATTTCCAAACGCTTTCTCCTTACTGGTTTTCTCTACTGTACCTTCGCTTTGTCAAACGTTAAGGTCGATTTTTCTTATCGTCGATAATCGTGGAAGGCTACTTTTGAAAGAACGTTTATCTTGCAGACATATGATCGATCGGCGATCAACAGTTTCGTGGGAATACCCGGTAGAGTTTGGCCTATTCGATTAAGCTGGCATCGGTGACATAACGCGAGCCACGATACGGATGTGCATATTAACCTATTTAGCTCCGTTACGCACGGACAATGCACGACCTGTGTCGTGCACGATGGTTTCGTTGTAACGCGGTCGGAGATACGCTGCGGAATTGTCCACCGATAGCTTTTCTTGTTAGGAAACGCTTGGTAGTGTCTGAGACGCAAACCGGTGTTTGAGGACATCAATAGAATATTGTTACTGTGACAAGTTCATAAGTTCACGCTTGGAGTCTTAGAACTTTAGATGGAAGATCTTTGGTCTTAGACTTTCGCTGATCGTTGCTATAAACGATGTCATGATAGATATGCACTGTACTATGCATTGTAATAGTAATTTTATACTAATACTGACTGATGAGAGTCATGGTAGGTACTCTGCACTATCTAACCCTTTGCACTCGAAGATAATTTTATTATTTGCAAGTAGCAACTTTAAAATATTAACTAAAATGTTAAATGAGTTCTAGTAATAATTTCCACTATTGTGAATTTTGCTATGTTTATATATCACATGAGGACTATTACGGAATTAGCTAAATAATGCTTATTTCAAATTATTGTATTAAATCGAATGGTGCCTGAGAGGCGCCTCTCGAGCGCAAAGGACTAATACTACGCTTTCTTTCCAACCGTGTAACAACGATACGAGTAATCGAACGTTATCCAATTTGGAGTAATCTTTCGATAACCTATGGACGTTTCAGTCAAAGTTTCCGACGAAAGTAGCTGCGAAGAAGAAAAGAAAGGCGGAGTTAAATCGTCGATTTACGTGACAAAAGCGTCCACGGTCGCGTTCGGAGGGCGACCAAGATGGTCGCCTGGAACGTTACGCGGAGAAACAAGAAAATAACTTTGGTATACTATTCTTGGTTAAAAATAGTCCCGTGCTAGAGACGATCGAACCACAGTTCGAACTGTGTAGCGTGCATTCTCATTATCTTCTTTCTTGAATGTTGCATTCTGTAGGAAAAGAGCTCGAATTTTCGACGCTGTTGCTTTTATCTGGGTATGGAGGTACCGTTAGGGGTAAACGCTTGACGGTTAGCGACTTCGAAACCGTTGCATATTCTACTGACAGGACGTTTGCTGTACACCCACAGGGAGACTGAATTCAAGAGACAACTGAAGAGAGACCAGAGTTCAAGAGGCAGCTTCTGAGGAGAGACTACAATTCAGAGATACAATTTAGGAGAAGCGACACAGGAAAAATTCCTTAGGAGACAACTTATAAGATGCAACTCAGAAAGACAATTCCTTAGGAGACAACTTAAAAGAAGCAACTCAGAAAGACAATTCCTCAGGAGACAACTTATAAGATGCAACTCAGAAAGAATTCCTCAGGAGACAACTTAAAAGATGCAACTCAGAAAGACAATTCTTTAGAAGACAAATCAGAAAGACAGTTCCTCAAAAGGCAACTTAGAAGACAATTCAGGAAGACAGTTCTTCAGAAGACAACTCAGAAAGACAGTTCTTCAGAAGACAACTTAAAAGATGCAACTCAGGAAGACAATTCCTCAGGAGGCAACTGAGAAGACAACTCAGAAAGACAATTCCTCAGGAGAGACCACAGTTCAGCCACACACCTCTTCAAAACAGAACATCATTTGGGAGGACATCTCAGGAGAGACCAGAATGCAAGAGACAACTCCTGAGGAGAGACCACAATTCAAGAGACAGCTCCTGAGGAGAGACCACAACCAGGAAAGACAATTCAAGAAAGACAATTTAGGAGAGACAAGTAAAGAAAGACAATTTAGGAGAGACAACTGAGGAAAGACAATCCAAGAAAGACAAAGTAGGAGAGACAATTCAAGAAAGACAACTTAGGAGAGACAATTCAAGAAAGACAAAGTAGGAGAGACAATTCAAGAAAGACAACGTAGGAGAGACAATTCAAGAAAGACAACTTAAGAGAGACAATTCAAGAAAGACAACGTAGGAGAGACAATTCAAGATAGACAACTTAAGAGAGACAATTCAAGAAAGACAACTTAGGAGAGACAAATAAGGAAAGACAATTCAAGAAAGACAATGTAGGAGGAACAACTAAAGAAAGAGAACTTAAGAGAGACAATTCAAGATAGACAACTTAGGAGAGACAATTCAAGAAAGACAACTAAAGAAAGACAATTCAAGAAAGACAACTTAGGAGAGACAATTCAAGAAAGACAACTTAGGAGAGACAATTCAAGAAAGACAATTAAAGAAAGACAATTCAAGAAAGACAACTTAGGAGAAACAATTCAAGATAGACAACTTAAGAGAGACAATTCAAGAAGGACAACTTAAGAAAGACAATTAAAGAAAGACAATTGAAGGAAGACAATTTATGATAGACAGCTCAGGAAAGACATTTGGTAGACTCATGTAGAACGGTTTCAGCTTGACCCGAGTGTTTTACGGGACTGCAGGTTCGCCTAACGGTGGTCGGTAGATTAGGGGTCGGCAGAAGCGATCGTTACTCGGCAACCACGACCTTTACGGCAAGCAACGAAAAGCGAGAGATGCGGGCAATTCGGGGAGCCGGGCTAAATTTAAATGGCCCGGTACTCGTGCGCGTGGTTAACGAGAGGAACGAGGCGCTGCACACCCGTCCCCACGCTCGGCTCCGAGCGGACGTAGCTACGTACGTGCCGCGTACACGTGCGTCGCGACCGATCAGCTGGCCCGCATACGACCCTCTCCAGCTTCCCCTCTACCTCGTTCTCTCCTCGTCTTTCCATCTGCTCTTCCTGCTCGTTTCCGACGTGGATCCAACGGGACACCGCGAAACGTCTCGCGGAATCGAGCGCAGTTTTCTCGAGCACCCAGAGTTTCAGCGGTCGATCCAGCTGAATTATCGACGGATTCGGAAAGGAAATTGCGGCGAAACACGAAACGGTCAGGAAAAGTTACCCTAAGAAAGAGCGAGGGGAAAACGTGGCGGAGAAAGGTTGAATCCGGGTAGAGGGTGGCTGAAACTATGCGATCGATAGTTGAATGCCCTCTAGTTGACATGCGTAGCCCATACCTGCTCGCCTACGGCTCGCTTCCGATAACTCTTTCCTTTCTATACGACCCGTTATCTCTTTCCAAAAAATCGCTCAATAACGTCTCATATTTTAAATTTCCTTCTTTGTTTTTGAGCTTCAGATGCGTCCCCCTGTGAATCAAATCCAATTAGCCGCACGAGTTGGCATTGATCCGCGAAACGGTTCGATAACGCATTCCCGCATTAATTATCGTCACAGTTCCGAGCTATAATTATCCGTGTATCGCGCGAACAAACTGCGCGAGGAAGGAAATCGTTAGCCCGTAGAAAATATACTTCCAACCAACGAGCATTCGTCGAGCCGATCGTTAATCCGCCCCGATCCGTGTCTAATTTTAATCGTCGCAAACGGTACGTCGTAAAAACCCAAACCTTCGCTCTCGTGAAGGGGACCGATCAAATATAAATTATTGGCTCGATCGAATCGGAAAGGTGGGCGTTACTGCTGCGGAATCGATATCTTATCGGTGCTTCGCGATAACCAATCGGCCTTGCGACGTGTTTTACGTTCCGGTGGAAATTACGCAACCTTTTCTTTTCGGAAACGAAACATTCGACTCGGGGCCACTTTCGAATGTGTTTCGATTTCCATATTTTTTATATTCTCTGCATTTTTACTTTCTATACATTTTTAAACGCATTGATGGAGTTAGCTAGGCCTACAAGATCATATGTGACATATGTTCATATGTGACGCGACCCAAATTTTCAATGTTCTTTTGGGTGCAATTCTAGCTATAATCTTCATAATTGTACATTTTTACATTTTTTACGTTTTTACACATAGTCGATGGAGTTAGCTAGGTCTACAATATCATATGTGACCATATGTTCATATGTGACGAGACACACATTTTCAATGTTCTTTAGGGTGCAATTCTAGCTATAATCTTCATAATTCTACAGTTTTACATTTTTTACGTTTTTACTCATAATCGATGGAGTTAGATAGG